AAACCATGGCCAAAAATGGCTGACAGAATGCTGCGGTGTGAGTGAAACAGATGCATAAGGTTATACGTGTGTGTGTGTGTGTGTCTGTTTGGGATGTGTGTGTGTGTATTTTGGATGCCTGTGCGTGGCGCATATTCATTTATTTTATTTTTCGTTACTTTTTGCGCTGACTAGCTAAAAAATATCTACCTAAGCCATGAAATATGTTGTTCAGGCAGACAGATGCACCCCAAACCCATACATAGTTACTCCACCTACTCCTATAGTAGCAGGGAAAGCAGGAAGGAAATTCTGTCCGTCTACTCTCAATGTTTTAGTTACCCTTAGTTTCCACTTGATGTTTAATTTATATTATAACAAGTCAATGTAAAAGCAATTTAATTAAAAAGCATGGAAATTGAAACTTACAAAACAGTTTTCGTAGTTTCTTAAATAATTTGAATATATTATTTTATATAACTTTTCTATAACATTTAATTTTAGAAAGTTATTTTCCTTATCATCATGTAAAATTTGTGTTAATACATCAGAATATTTTACACGAATTTGTTGTTATTTTTGTAATAAAATAAATTGATTTATGTTAACTTTAAATATGTTTAATACAAATTGAAGATATTTTATGCAGAGAAAACAATTTCAATTGAAATTTAAAAAAAAATGGTTGAAGTTGTATTTGAAAGATTAACAGACATGAGTGCACACATTGAATGGTAGGACATTAGAATTCTATTTACTCAGCTGCGTTACAAGCCACATAGATTTGTTATAGTAACCCCTGGAACAGCCTAAACAACAAACACAAACACACACAAAGACACACACACACACATAGGCGAAGTTCTGGCATGACAGCACACAAAGTGTTACACATTTGTGCTGTAGCCCAAAATGACAGGCTGCCAACGTGGCGTATACGCCATGTGCCGGGTATGTACGTACATATATACATATATATAAATATATATATATATATATATACAGAGAGAGAGATAGATTGAGGGGGCGGTGAAATGAGTCAAATCGAGACCAGACGAAACGAGACATCGATGGCAAATGATGATGTGTTGCTAATGATGATGATGATGATGCTGATGATGATGGCAATGATGAAGTCGCTGTTCATATTCTTGTTGTTGGGATCATTATCAGCGCACATCTTGCGTCTCGGCATCTTCTTCTTGTACACATTTTGGCAGACTTCGTCTTTATCTCGACGCGCACTGAATGCAATGAAATATGGGTCAAAATACAAGTCAAAATTGCAAAACAAATGCCATTTCGCATTTTCTTGTTTATTTCTTTTCGCTGCTCTCAACACAGCTTTCTTTAACCTTCGCCTGCTGCTGCTGCTGCTTGGCTAACTCGTATTTCTCCTATTTCTTCCATTTCTCTCGTTTCTCTCATTTCTCTGCATTCGCATGCAAATAAATTTAAGCGTGCGCTCATTTTGCACGTAATACAAAACTTTTTAACTGCTAACTGGCAAAATGGAAAAGCGGCGCGTGCTGTCGTTTTTCTTTCTATTTTCCTGTTTATTTTTCTTTTTTCCCTAAATGTTTTTTTTTTTTTTTTGGCTCGTTCACTTATTGCCACAGTTCGCCTTTCTTAGCCAGTTGCTTGCAAATTATTCTCCCCTTTGTGTACTTGGCATTTGGTCTTGTAGTCTCCGCTTATTGAAGGTAAAAGTAAACTAACTGTAAGCTGACTTGATTGCAATTGCCCTGCGGGTGGGTCCGTGTCCGTGTGTATGTGTATGTGTGTGATTTGTGTGTGTGTGTGCCAGTATTTAGTTAAGAGTTGTCGGGCAAGGGTCGCGTTTGAAAGACTTAATCAGTGGCTAAACTGGGACAAGAGACGATTCACGCACAGTTTTAAACTAATCAAGGTTCCTGGAATAATGACACCTGAATATATCTATAATATAGATCCGTACTAAGACGTTGTTGCTCACGGAATTATAACTAATGAAAGGAGACAATAGCTATAAGGAATGCTGAATCAGGATTCTTAAGTTGTTGTTATGGAACATTAAATGGGTTCGTCCTTCTGCATGCAACATGCAGAACAAATATATATCGCAGCTCTCGTGATCGGATGGGTATATTTTAAAATTGACATAGAATCGATCGGGTGAATATTATTTCTTGTGTGAGAAACTCTTTGTCTTTTTGTCTGCCAACATAGATTTACTATGCTTCTTACATACGAATAAAATCATATCAACATTGAACTTATTCTTAAAGGGTTTTCATCCTTGCCGAAGATAGACATTGTTCCTCCTCTAATATTATATTTAATTTTACAGTACATTCAATTTTTGAATTTTTACTCAAGTCTTTTCCTCATTTTATTGAACTACTTTAGATGTTAATAAATCCATTTCATTAAAACCCAATTATCAAAATATAAAAGAATATATATTTAACTTGTGCTGAATAAATTGACAACGTATGTCGATGCAAAATTGTTGGAAATGAAAAATTTCATTTAATGCATAGTTTTTCATTTGCCATGTGATCTGCCAGTCAATTGTCTCTTGCTGGTAAAATACAAACAAGAATTTAAATTTGCCAATGTGTTTGTGGTGCAGTCTTTGTGTGAGTGTGTGTATATGTTTGCGTTTCTATGCAATTATAATTTTTGGGGTGTAACCCAAAATGCAGATTGTTGGCCATTTGTTTGGGCAAATGCTAACTCCAGCTGGAGTGCCTGCAGCGCCCCTCTGCCATATAGCTTCCACCTACCAGTTACCAACTCCCCTTCCCCAATCTGCAAAGCTGCCCCCACTCCCCATCCTAGCTGCAGCTGCTGGCTGCATGTGTAGGCTTTTTGTGACAAATACAAAGCGCTTGTTAAAGGCCAAAAGCGTTGCGTTGGGGCTAAGAATGGTTGTGGCCATGCTTTGGAGTTGTTAGTGTGGACGTGGGTGTGAGTGTGCGTGTGTGTGTGTGTGTGTGTGTGTGTGTGCGTGTGTGTGTTTGGCTAACTAAGTGTGTGCGGCCGTACAGTGTTGCGGGCTGTAAAGAGACCAATCGTAAATCAAGGCATGACTACCACGACAACAACAATAAGGATGAGGTCGCACTTGAGGGGCGTGCCAAGGCAAATGATGGAGCCAGTGGCCGGGGGGTGGTCTGCCCGGGGTGTTGAGGTGTGTAGTAGAGCGGGTTAACCCCCCCTTAGGCTATGGGTAACTCCACTCAATGAGTTGAGTTGCCCTTTGTGGTCCAGAGAGCTGGAGAATGCATTAAAGTTGAGGCACAGGATCAGGCCAAGCTCCATAGCAAACACAAACCTACATATATATATAAAGATATGTATATGTGTATGCATATATGTATATATAGTATAGTCAGTGCTTGTCTATGCAAATATTTAAGTCTGTTGTTGTCGTTTGGTGGCGAAAATTGCGAGCATGACATACTACGGCGAGAGGCTGGAGCGACAGCGAGGGGCATATGGTAAACAAATGTAAATGGCCAACAGTTGAGGGTGCAATGGCTGGAAGGGGCTGGTGTTGGCGAGGGGGCGGGTGGTAGCGGTTCGGCTGGCTATAAAAGGCCATTGCTAAGTGCCTGTCTATAGTGTGCTTGGTGGCCCCTAATGAAAATATAAAGCAAATTAAATATTTAATTTAATCAATGTGTAATGGGACTATAGTTGGCACCAAAAGGATATTAGATTTCCCCCAAGAACTCTGTCAGCAAACGCATTTCCACATGGAAAACATGAAAAACTAAATGAAAATCCCATTCAACAAGGGCTGGAAGTAGTTGTCAATATCTCGCTAGCAGTTACTTTAACTTTAGGAATAAGAAACATGGTTTTTGTTTTTTATATATTTCTCTTTAATACTGGCATACCTGAAAGGAATTGGGTTTAATAAGGTTTATTTTTATAGGTTAATGGCCAATTCTTGTCAAGAACTTAGAATCTATGTTCTTTTCTGTTTTGTGGTTTAAGTACCAACCGTTTATGGATTTTATTGGAATATTATTAATTTTTGATTAACTGTTTTATCTGTTAATTCAAGCTGGACTAATCGTCTATATATTATTCAAACATTGCGCGTGGTTTTATTTTCAATATATTCATATTAAAAATTTCAGAAAAGAGAAACTAAATAAAAGTGCAACAACTTAAAGTTGCAATTACAAGTTGAGCATGCAGCCAATTAAAAACGGAGGCAAAAAACCTGCCAATTAAAACTTTGTGGCGAAAACAACATAAAAACAAAATCAAATTGCGTCAGGGAAAAACTAAAAACTCTAATAAGTGCCGAGGCATTATATAAAAAATTACAAATATAATGGAAAGGAGTGGAAAGCAAAGGAACGTGTAAGGAAAGCTGCGCTTCAATGCACATGGAAACATGCGCGTTGATGCTCAACAATGTTGCCAGACAAGGAGCAAGCCAGATGGTCGGGGGAAGGCCGCAGTGGGGTAAAAGTGGGGAAATTGCATAGCAGACGACATCTTCATTAAAATCTAATTAGCGCATTGCAAAGCGAGCCAGTTGGCTCTTGAAAACTGAGTCCTTGACTTGGCATTTCGCTGGCAACAGTGGGGCAACAGCGCACAATCAGGTAGGCATGGGGTAAGCAGCCAGGTGAGCTGCCAGGTGAGCTGCATGCGTAAGCTGCTTAACTTGTGCTGGAATTTAAGCAGCAGCTGCCAGGAGTCAGAAGTCAGCCAGCCAGCCAGGCAGGAGTAGCTCAGTGCTGTTCAGGAATGTCAGTCATAGCTGTTGTCGAGCCAGGAGCAGCTGCACCTTTCCCATTGTCCTTGCTCTACTTAAAGTTGATGCTGCTGCTGCCAACTGCACACGCATGCAGCTAGCCAGCAGGAGGATTGCGGGATTGGGTTTGAGCCTTCGGGGCGACTTCTTGCGCAACATTTTCAAATTCCAGAGTCAACCGCAAAATGAAAAACTTTCTATGGCTGCTGCTGCTGCTGTTGCTGCTCGTGCTGTTGGAGCCACACCCCCTGCGCACGCCTTAAATTGTATACATATTGTATATAGATTTTTTATTTTTTTCTTTTTGCTGGCAGGACCCTTACACACACACACGCACACACACACATGCAGCTGCTCGCGTATGTCCTTCAGGCGTGCATTGCATTTCGATGTTGCTGCCGGGAGAAATTGCTTTATAAAATGTTGCAAGCTGTGCGGGGAGATTGGTGGCTTTTGTGGGCGTGGCCATCGGCGAGACCATCTTGCTGTTAGCTTTTCTTATTTTTCCCTACCAATTCCTGCTGCGGTTTCCTTGTTTGACATGCTTTTAATTTTCAATACATTTTTCTTTCTTCTTTTTTTTTTTTCTGTTGTGCTCAGCTCTCAAACACATTGGCCATTATCGCTTTTTAGATTTCTTGAGACGTTGCTAATGGTTTTGATATTTTGAGTTGCTATAAATCATTTTCAATCAGCGGCACATAATAAAAAGCTGCTTCTGCGCTATATATAGATATTCATAAATATATATATAAATATTGATAGACCAAAGTTGCGGCGTTAATAAATATTTTAAGTACTCAAGTATAAACGGCTCTGCTGTTATCCAACTGTTAAAATTACGCTTTCAATTTCTGTAAAATGATTTGGAGTGTTGCTGATTTCTAGAATGACAAATAAAGGTGTGATAACAAATTATGAGAAGACAACAAAAATATTGATATATGTGACCAAAATCAAATTTTAATTTTGGCCGTTCGTTCGCTTTGCACAAAATAAAATAAAAATATATATTGATTCAATTATATCCATTGAATTGATTTTAAAAGGTCTTTTCATGTTCTCAAAAAGTGCGACCCAAGTAAACGAATTAATATTGCTAAAATCTCAAATATGTTCTACAAATATGTTGAAAAAATAAACAAACAAAAAATGAGAATCTAAGGATATGATTATATACCCTGGTTGACGTGAGAGCTGAGTTTGTTGAAACTTGGAAAACGAATTATTTGGCACACAAAAACTGGTTTTTCTACCAATAACCGATTTTTGATCCTATATAGCTATATAATAGAACAGTGCAAAATTATTAAGACATGGCACATATATAAGCAGAAAATTTTAAATAATAAATGCCAGGACTGGTCAAGGTAATTTAATAATCTACCGTTCCTTTGGCAGCTTTATAATAGCGATAGTGATAGTGATAGTGGTCTGATCCGGCCAGCTCCGACATGTAAGGCACTACTGTTAAATCTGATCAAGAATATATGTACTTTGTATGTAAGTTGCACAGGCAATTCTCTCTTTAAGGGTATACAAAGTATCTTAATAGTCTAATCGTTACCAAATAACAAATGAGGCTGTTATTGGTTGTCGTGCTTCGCAAATGAAGCGACTGGGAAAGGTACATGGGCGATCGTTTAACCCGCTCGTATGATTTGTTTTCCATCCCAATTCGTGACAGTGCTCTGATTTGCCTGCATTATCGGGCTGTCCCTTGGCCCAGATATCTATATTGATGGGTTGTCCGTTTGCAAACCAAATGTGCGTACCCTCTTTGGCCAGATCCGTGCCCGAAGTCCAGTACAAGTGTTCTATATTCATTGCGCTATATATCGATTAATTTCATACCATTCGTCGATCGTTTCGATCGATATCAATTCAGCGTCCATGCAACGACACGTTTGGTAAGCATCGAACCAGTTTTTCTGTTTGTTCACCTCGAAAAAGTAAAATCCATAAGCGATCCTAACAAATGGAGCCGTTGTAAGGTTCGTGTTTGATGGTATATCTATGCGAAACATGCTACAATAAGAAAAGGTTATTTCAGGGTATTTCCTTTCTAAAACTTACCAGGCGTTATAACGGGATGTAATTTATATGTCATACATATGCCGACTAATCCAAAGAACTGCAGAAGACATACGTATTGCCCAAACATTTTTGCTATACTCATTTAAATCTTTCAATACGCCTGGCCTTTTATATCAAAAAATCAAAAACTTGTACTCATTGAAAACGGCAGATAGGGTATATTAGTTTTGTGAAGACCCATGTCGCGCGGCTGTTCCAGAATCTTACGTGAAAGCAAATACCAATGTCGACATTTAAAGCCCAGTCTAGGGTATATCTTAGTCTATTATTTGCAAAACATAAAGTGAATATATATATAGATATATTTTAAAGACGTTTGTTTATCATTAGTTAGCAGAAATTTCGATACATGTTTATTTACCTAGGTCTACAAACAATTGAGAATTGTGGTTTGTAAGATGCGCGAATATTTGGATTTTATTTATAAATATTTTCACCTGCGCATCAAGTTGTTGCTTTGGCAATTAAATATTTCACGTTAATTGAGGGAAGTAATACTTTTTTTTTGTATAAATTTTTTGGAATATATATTGAAATTTTAAAATGCACTTGTCTAAGTCTTGCAATATATTGTAGGCAAGAGTTACCATGTAGTTGATCAGCTTTGTAAAGTTGCAGAAGGGTAATCAAAAGGCTTAGAATTTTTATTGGCCAAACAAAATGTTAAATATAAAAAGATTATTCTGCGCTTTCAGACAACAAATTTTATCCGCTTGGTAGACTTAAGCTACTTCCAGCTATCAGAAGCTTCATCCACAGGCATTTTCTAGTTGTCTTTCCCAATATGAAAATGTATGAAATGGCAAAGTTTGTCCTTTTCACTACTATAATAATTTCCACTGATGAAAATTAAAATAATATAAAATATGTTTTTAAATGTTTATTAAAAAACAACGATATTTTTCGAGCGAAACTCTTTAAGAGTAAACAAAATAACTTCAGAATAAAATATTTTTTAATGCAGCTAAACATTTCGCATGTGCCTTATTAAGTCTTAATTCTCATATGCCAAACTATGTAAAGATGAAAATACCTTTCGACTTTTCATGCCATCGACTTTGTCGGCATCTATATATATAAATTTTGTATGGTAGATGCTTCCCTCTTAAAAATCACTTGGCTGCTTAATGTGTCTAATTAAATTTCACATGCCGTTGAACAGCAGACAGTTGCCTCGCGCGTTCCCTCTCACTCTCTTTTTCGCTTTCAAGTTTGGCGTCATTTTCCTTAGCATTTTCTAGCTAACTTTTCTCCTCACACACACACAGCTAACATACACATGAATCTGGCTGCTACGAGACACGCATTTAGTGGCCATGTTAATGGCTGACACATTTTGCTTTGCTTTTGATTTGATGGCGTGGAGCGCTCTTCACCCCTCCTGCACACACACTGACAGAGAGCGAGACACAGACACATCTCATTCCGAAACATAATCATCTTTCCATTGAACGTGTTGTCATTTGTTTTAATGTTCGAAGGCGCCGGGCAAAATGGTATTTTTATAAGAGATTTGATGAGTTTCTATCTGTCTTTTTTTCCCATTCTTTTTATGCCATTTTCCGCGAAAGAAAAGGCAAAGTCTGGCATACTTTCGGGCGTGGGCTGTAAATTACGTAGCCGCCTGCGTTGGGCCTGCAAATGCATTTTATGACTTTTCATGCATTCCCAAAAATGGGCAAACCAATTAGCTGCGTGTGGGCGTGGCTTGGCGCCCCACTTGGCGTCGTTTAACAATTGTCGCATGGCAAAAACGAGAAACTGTCAGTTAAATTATATTTTCGTCGGCATTTGTAATCATCAACGTCCTGGCAGCATATTTCTAGTCTCTGTGTGTCTGTGGGCGTGGCCCTGTGTGTGTGTATGTGTGTGTGTCTGTGTGTCTGTACATGTCCCCAGCGAATTAATTAGAAAACTTTTCTTAACTGATTCAGTGCCAGCAGCAGGGACTGAGACGCACGCCTTCAAAGAAGCTAGTAGAAGCTGCTTTTTGTGTGGACACACACACCCTAAGACCAACACACACATTGAGACACTGCAAACATTTGCGGTTCGAGCCAAAATGCAGCTTGGCGCTGCCACAAAACTAAAACTGCATGGGAAAACTCTTTGAGGCATTCATTAGTTCGCTAAAGAAAATGTCATACATATACACCACACAGTCGGCTATCTGTGTGTTATGTGTGTGTGAATTGCAGCTAAAAAGAAAGTGGCACAAATACATGTAGCAATCACTGCGCTGTTTGTGTGTGGGTGTGTGTGTGTGTCTTTTAGAGCATTATAAATTCAACATGGGGACTTAAAACGCCCAAATTATGTCCGCTGCATTTGACAGAAGACGGGTTTCATCCATTTCTGTCGAATATTAGCAAATAGTACACGATGACTTTGACTTTTGCGTTTTGGCAGTCCTTAAGGCGTTAAGCAAAAAGTCAGTGAACTCTGCTTGGTTAATGATTGAAAATGTTTATTAAGATTTTTGTATATTGTACAAATTTTACGAAAACTAGAATGTTAGATTTATTTAAATTGAATTCACGGCTTGAATTGGATTGAATCACATGCGGCTTAGAGCTTTAATAAAAATAAAAAGTGTTAACCTTTATCCATGAGAGGTAAAATTACTCTCCTTACGTAATATCTGATATGCATTTGAACTTGTGTCATACACTGTCGCTTTTTATCTCTTATAACTCCTCTCTATTCTTTAACTTTCTTTGCGATTCTCATGAATCTAAGTAACTTCTAGAAAAACTTACGGTTAAATTTTCACTTACCAATTTAAGTGAATACAGCGGTTCATAATATAAATTTTAATATTGAATATAATAAACATTCGCATCAAATAGAACGAAGAAAGCTTGAGATAAATAATAAATAATAATGAATTTATTTATATAAAAGTTATTATATTAACAGTTTTATATAATTACAGTTAAATTGTTTTTATTTTTCCCAAAGCTGGTTCGAATTAATTTTGGCAATTTAATTCTTAAGAATTAAAATTCCTCAGAGCTTAAATTGCTGGTTAACTTCGAATTTGGCGAATTTGAAGTGCTTCAGGGCGCGGCTGGTAATTCCAGCGATTTGCGTGCGCAATTTAACGCTCAACTAATTGAAATAATTGGCCAATGAAAATCTTATTAAATTAATAAAGATGCATTAAAATCAGTTTAATAACCACTCGAAGATACGCTGAGTAGCAGTAAATTTGAGTTTAATGCCGTGGACATTATAACGGAACGGCAAATGAAAAAGTTTTATAACCCTTCAACCCCTTTTTTAATAGCTGCGGGACTACCCCAAAATGTTGGGCGCGGTCTTCAATATAAATTTCATAGTTTATTGTTTACTGACAATTGTTTTTATTTTTATTTCTCTTTTGTTTTGCAGCGCTTTAAGGACAATGACATCGAAGTGAAGCGCAAGGATGGCATTATCCTGCTGCGTGAATTAGCGGCCGAGGTGAAGAACTTTATGGACTTCAAGCGTAACGCTGTAATGGTAAGTGGACAAAGCCCCCCTCTCTCAATTGTAAGTGCCCACAATTGACAAGTGGCTCAATAGCTCAAAGCGCACGCGACAAACGGCAAACACTTAGGAAATTTAAGAACCACACACACACACACACACACATACACATGCACAACAAAAAACACACACACACACACAAAATAATAACAAGAACGAGCCGCTCAGTGGGACACTGGCGTAAAGTGGAAAACAATAAATTGCCGTGAGCCAAAAACAGCCCCAACAACAGCAACAATAAAAACAAGTAAAAGCACTAGTGCTGAGAGTGCTCGACTACAAGATACTCTATACATATATTCTTATATTGTTCCAACCCGAACTCGCACACCTGTAAACGACCTTCATGAATTTGTGAGAGATTGAATATGAAATGAATGCCACTTAAAATGTTTTCTTCCATTCTGCCACATTTTGGGAATAAAAAGAAACAGTTTCCGAATCGATATGTATCGATTTAAAGAATATTTTACGTAAATTGAACAGTCCAAACATAAATTTTAGCTCTCATAGTCATTGTGATCGACGGATAGATGAATTCAGTTGAGTCGTTCTCATACAGCCTATCGTATTCCTCTTTTATCCATTTGCGATGAGTGCTGGGTATAAGAGCATCTCAGGCGCTGAGCAGTTGTCAGCTGAGGGAGAGGCCGACAAATTGAAATTAAAGTGCGCCAGCCACAAGGACAAGTTTTGATGGCGCCCGCAGCTGCTGCGGCTACTACCACTGTTACTGCTACTGCTACTGCTACTGCTACTGTTATGTGTCGCCAATCGCCACCCATTTACCCATTTGCCCATTGGCCGCTGCCAGTTGTCAGCTGACTGTGGTAAGCAGACTCGGCCAGACTCGCGTCTCAGGCGGAATGAACCTCTGCGGTATTGTGGTCTTTGCCCTGCTCTTTGTGGCTTTCCAGTGTGCGCGTCCGTCCTGCGTATCAATAGACTTCGTTTACTGTCAGGATAATTTGCTGCAGGCGTCGCGATTGCACATTGGCGCAAGCTTACCTGAAATAAGGGAGGCTATAAGAAACTTTTGAGGAAACGTGGGAAATTTAAAAGAAATATTAAATTGAATATGTTTACGGGTTGCATAACATATACACATTTAAGCCGTGAACATTTCAAGCGAACTGTATTTTCTTAAAATTAACTGAGCTTACAAATTAATTCAGTTTTCTGCCTTTCGACCACGGTATCATTTGGCAAGGGCCAACAGCACTTTGCTATTAAAAAACGGCAGCTATTTTTATTTTTTTATTTTTTGTGATTGATTGGTGAAGTATCTACACGGTCCCTTGCGTGGCTCTCTGCCTTGCATGTTGCGCTTTTTTATGGTTAGTTAATTTTCCACACATTCCATTTCATTGCTAATTTTCTATTTTTTGAGTAGATTTTCTTTAATATGCGTCACCAACGCAGCTCGCATTCGTTTCTATTTTCATACGCATTTTCATTTAATTAGGCGAATGCCAAAAATATTTACAACTTGAGCTGAACTGCTGCTGGAAAAAAAGCAAGAACACGTACAGTCATCATTAATAATGCGTGGCAAAACAATTAAATGTTATAATCAAGGCATAAGGGCAACTTTTATATGCATAGTAAATATAGATATATACATACCATATTATATACCGCATGTCCGCATTGTATTCATGTCCTCGGCGAGAGCCCATGTCCATGTTTCGTTCATGTGCGTGGGTATACATAAATAATTTTTTATGATTTCCGCAAAATATCGATTTAATTTTTTTGGGTTTCTTTTTTTGTTGTTGTTGTTTTTGTGGGTTTATTTGGCGGACGCTTCTGCTGCTTCTTCCGCTCCTTATGGCCAATCCAAACACACACGTACAGAAACACACACCCACACATATGCATACGCATATTGAGAGAGCGCAGCTGCCGTGCTGCTGCTGTGTTGTCCTGGTGTCCTGCAGTCCGGAAGTTTTGGCCCTGACGCAAAACGCATACGAAGCACCATTAATTAAAAATCAGCCCACATGAACACCAACAACAAAAACAACAACAAGAGCGGTAACATCAAAAACAGCAAAATGCCAAACAACATGCACAAACAAATTCAGTCCACAAGCCAGACTCTCAGATATCCTGAACATAATTTCTATAGAACGTAAATAGGATATAGCAATTCTCGTAGTTACGTTATTTGTGAAATAAACTTGCAGAAATCTTTATACATTCACGATCTAAAGAAGATAGATAAGATATTTTAATACCTTTATTAATATTATAATATAATACTATAATTCAAGCAACGGCTATTTCCAATGATTTTCGCTTGCATATGATGTAGGGTAATCGTTAGTTATTATTTAATGCGTTATTTTCAAGACAAAATTAATATATCCTCTAAAAGGATAAAAAAAAGTGGCTTAGGATTTGTTGTAACTAAAAATCGAGTGTGCGGATTCAAATTGTATGGCTAGCCTCTTCATATTTTGATTTATTTATAAGTTAGGTAGATTGCCTTGCTGGCGCATATTTTTGAACTTAGCCCAATTATATACTACATAATATTGTGAGCATCATCTTAAAGGTTGAATAAAATAATATATTCAAATATTAACTTTAGCATAGCATACTTTTAACATCCTTCAAATAAAGATTACAACTTTTTTAATATTTATTTTAGCATACTTTAAATATTGTTGTAAACATAAACATGAGGGTAAAAAGCCAGTTTTTATACAAATTGCTAACGCCAAGATCTTTTGTACTTCGATTTAATTTAAGCTTCATTCATTTCGGTGCAAATTTATTTCACTATTTCACAACATGAAGTTTAAAGGCTGTTGAATTAATCGACATTATTTTATGTTTAAATACTCAGCAATTTATGTTCTCTTTCAATTTTGTTACCTTGTCTCTTGCTTGGACCCAGACACAATACTAAATAACCGATGTCCCCTTACGAAAGTAGTGCATACGAAAAAGTTCAAGCTGGCACAAAAGCCGACGACATTTTTTTTGTTATTGTTGTTGTTGGTTTGTGCACAAACAAATAGAAGATTAACCACCAAATTTTTGAAGCATTTATGAAAAACGGCGAGGTGCGTTCACACACACACATACACTAATTGACATACACATGGGGACTTATACACACAAAGGCAAACATTTGCGATTCAATCGCTCGCAACTCTTGAAGTTCAACGAGCTGCAAAAGTGTCGCACATGTTGCCACGCCCCCCGAAAACGTATCTAAATCTTCGCCCGACGTGATGCACCACAAAAAGGCTTTGGGGACGATTTAGGTGAAAAAGCTGGGGGAAAAGCTGAAAAAGGCAACGCAGATTGCGACTCCAACATAGTTTTTTGGCCTTTATCGTTTTAATACTCTTGCAGAGGGTAGAATTATTTTGTGACGAACTGTGTAACGCATAAAGTGCCTCATCGCAGACCTTATACTCTTGTATTCTTGACCACACTAGCCATGCGATATTAGGGATATTTTCATGAAAATCGACTGAGGTATTTTAATTTGGCGTCTTTATATATGTCGGTGGAATATAGTGCCCGCGACTTGCAAAACCTTTTTAACATCGGATGACTAAGAACAATCGAGAACAAGAGAGAAGAAGAGGGTATTCGCTCTTCGTCGTGTAGGATATAGCAGGCTTTTCTTGCGATTTTTTTTGCATACGTCAGCTTAAGTTTCAATGGGCCAACGGGACGTATACGCAATGAGCAACAAAAACAACCAACTGACCCAAGCAGACAATATACAGAACCACACCCACCCACACACACACACGCACATTTTGTTTTTGCATGAGACTTTGCCATTCTATTTATTTATATTACTTTTTTATTATATACATATTCTTTTGTCGATTAAGTGACCTTTTCTATGGCACTCTGTAGCTGTCTGGCCCGCGGCCATTGTCTGAGGCGGCTTCTGTTGCTTTGGATTTTTTGTTTTTTTATTTTGTTCACGCAACACACACTTATCACAAAGTACCTTCAATTGTGATTTTTAATTAAAATTTGCATTTTAGCTTTTGGACAATTGTTAGGGTACAAATTTAATTTAATTTAATGTTTGCGTTCAAACATAATTGTATATTAATAGAACGCGATTGTGCTTCGTTTTCTCCAGCCTTCTAGAAGCGGAAAATTCTTTTATTAATTGCATTTACTGTCCAATCGCTATTCATTTTCTAATCTACAATTTGTAAACAGAGTTATTTTTAACTGTACTAGTTAGGCAGTGACTAATTAGTTTTGTATTAGGATTTCATAACAATATGAAACTATTATTTTACTTCTAAGATATTAATTTTTATCTAGAAACTACTTTCATTGTTGTTGTTGTTTTTCAATGGGTTATACCCAAAATAGTTACATGCTTAATCAAGTTATTCTTTCAACAATTTCTACAATTTCTAAACAGAGTTATTTTTAACTCTACTAGTTATGCAGTGACTAATTAGTTTTGTATTAGGATTTCATAACAATATGAAACTTTTATTTTACTTCTAAGATATTAATTTTTATCTAGAAACTACTTTCATTGTTGTTGTTGTTTTTCAATGGGTTATACCCAAAATAGTTACATGCTTAATCAAGTTATTCTTTCAACAATTTCTACAATTTCTAAACAGAGTTATTTTTAACTGTACTAGTTAGGCAGTGACTAATTAGTTTTGTATTAGGATTTCATAACAATATGAAACTATTATTTTACTTCTAAGATATTAATTTTTATCTAGAAATTTCTTTCATTGTTGTTGTTGTTTTTCAATGGGTTATACCCAGAAAAGTTGCATGCTTAATCAAGTTATTCATGCAATATAATTAGTTTTGTATTAGGATTTCATAAAAATATGAAACTATTATTTTACTTCTAAGATATTAATTTTTATCTAGAAACTTCTTTCATTGTTGTTGTTGTTTTTCAATGGGTTATACCCAGAAAAGTTGCATGCTTAATCATGTTATTCATGCAATATAATTAGTTTTGTATTAGGATTTCAAAACAATATGAAACTATTATTTTACTTCTAAGATATTAATTTTTATCTAGAAATTTCTTGCATTGTTGTTGTTGTTTTTCAATGGGTTATACCCAGAAAAGTTGCATGCTTAATCAAGTTTTTCATGCAATATAATTAGTTTTGTATTAGGATTTCATAACAATATGAAACTATTATTTTACTTCTAAGATATTAATTTTTATCTAGAAACTACTTTCATTGTTGTTGTTGTTCAATGGGTTATACCCAGAAAAGTTGCATGCTTAATCAAGTTATTCATGCAATATAATTCTGGTTTTCGCTTGTGCCAAGTGAAGCAAAGACAAGTTTCATTCATTTACTAGAATGAAATGTACAAGTCAATTATAATTGAAAGCAATATGTTTTAAAAGATGTAAATAAAAGTGTAAATAACAGGCAGTGGAATGTTTCTCGTTGCTGAGATAAAAAAATAAATAAAAAAAACGACAGATTAGCAAAGTAAAGCCTAATAAAAACATAAAGCAACTTAAAGTAAAGTGACGTTAAATATTCAACTGCATAAAATAACTGGAATTCGCGCGCAGCTCAATGAAAGTGTGCAACAATAATGTCTAGGGGTTAAATCAATTAATATAAATGTAATTGATGAAATTGTAATATAAAATTGATATTCTATGTATTATATTCCGTGCATTTAAATGTATATACATACACATATACATATACGGTAAAGCTTCAAGCTTAATCTGTGTATTTATAATTTCAAACTTGATTCGGGGAATCTCCCCGATGCGATTACGGTCGCTTAGGGCTATACTATGTGTGTTTCATACATAAATATATAAGTACACGCTGCCTGCTGCTCAGTCATTGTTCATCGCGCAAACTATAAACAACATGGATTTACTTTACAGAATTCTTCAAGTGTTGATTGTCGTCCTCTATTTGGTGTGCTACGTCCTGGGCGCCTGCAACGACGGCTTCTACGCAAGAAATGGCAATTTGGTCATTGACTTAAATAATCTGCAAGCGCAATTTGATTGCGTGCAACAGCAGCATCGCGGATAATACATAATAATAATATTGTATTATGAAATATAAATAAAAGTTGTACAACTTTTTTTTTTATAAAAGTGCTTGTTATTGCAATCGTAAACTCGGTTGGAAAAAGTGGTTCACAGAGTAATTTCTCTGTCAGTGTACTTGTTGAGTTAATGTATTTTTGGCATGATCCATAGAGAGGATCATGAGTAAGCTATCTGCTTGAGTCTATCCTTGCAGTGAATCTTGTAGCTTTGCCATTTATGACAAATTAGTCCGATGTGGATTGGTTTTCGCAAATATGGTTATGGTGCACAATAAAGCTCGTAAATGCCGAGCTAAGTTAGCAAAACAAAAATGTTGTTAATACAGAACATAATTGATAATTGATCAATATTTTGCTATTATATAATATGGAGAACCGATTCGGCCGTCTCTGACATATGAATGAAATTAGAATCTTTTGCAAGTTTCATTAAAAAATATAAATATATAAAAGAGTGCGGACATTGATTAGGATGTTGGTACTGATCAGGAATATATATATATTCTTAAGAGCAAGCAGATGTACGCATTTTGTGAGAAACTTATTAACCACTGCAAGCGTAAGCTCTTTTCTTTCAATTATTGAACATGCAATGGCGAAACCATTGATAATTCATACCTTTATAAAATTTATTCAGAAGCAACATGAATTCGAAAATTCTTAAAGTGGTGTTAATTCTATTCCGGTCATTTGAAAATGATCAAATCGGTGCTCTGTTTGATTATTTTGCCATTAGCTTTGATACTATTCAAAGCCATTATTTGAAATTCGCTGGCCGTAGAAAATTGGGTTTATCGTTATCAATGCATTATATAGCACATCTATGTAAATGTGCGTCTAATCTGTGAAACCAATCAAATAATTAGCTCCCGCCAATCTATCTATATATTACACGTTATAAATCTATTTGTCAACACGACAGACAAACCCATAGACAGAGGGCGGGAAGGAGGAGGGGGTGGGGCGTAGAGACAGACGGAGCGAGACACACATTAAGCTGACCCATAAACAGGGCATTGTCAACGGCGTGTACACGTGATATTATTTAAACACGCCGCATGGCGCCCGCACAATCGACCATTCAAAACGGCGAAGAGCAGAAAAAAATGTGATTTGAAAGAGTTCCCAGGATGTCAGTCAGTCAAGATACGATAACAACATCAAGACTGAGTCAAATATTTGATATAAACGGCAATCAGCTAGCAATAATTAACACTAAATTCGCCTCAAAAAGTAATAAATATTATTCTTTACATATATTTAATACTGGCTTTGGCAACTATTACGTTTCAGAAATATATATTTAGCTGACCTTAAGTCTTTGAATTTTTACGACATTTCTTTCTAATAATTATCGAAATAATGTATGTTACATACATAAATATATATTACGTTGTATGTTAGAATAAACGAGCAGCTGCAATGCGTTATCAAGTAATTGCTGGCGGAGCTCAACCCTTGAGCCAAAAATTTTCCACTTGACTGGCGATGTTCAAATCCACTCCGAAACAAATTGCAACCAAAAGGAAACCTGTATTATTCAAGGTTCGACCTCAGGAAGGCTTCAAGCGATATCCTTAGTGTTTGATTAAATAAAGAACTGAATTTTCTATTGATTCCCACGATTCGTATGAATTAATGATTAATAATTAATAGTAAACTGATAAGCATTTTTTTCAGTCAAAATCGTTATAGTATTAACAAACGTGTGTGGCCTTTGCATAGCTGCCTAATGCTTATTTCCATAAGTGAAAATCGTTTGCTTATCACTATTTTAATTTTAGTGCATACGACTACGAGCTCTCGTTTCATATCTTCAGCGATATTCGAGAATTTACTATGAGAGCAGAATATCGTTTGAATTGATTGCTTGCGTCATATATTATTGTGCTATTTTAATTGCAAATGCAGTTTCTCTTAAGCTCTGAGATGTTTCTATGCCTATAACCTAACATTGAATGTTGCTGCTGTGGCTTGTTGCAACTATTTGGTATTACATTTGAACGTGGGTCCTCCTGGGGTCGTCGGTTTGAGCTAGCACACAAACAATTTGCACTCATGTCAAACATGAGAAATAATGAAAAACGAAACGATTCGTGCGTGGCCCCCTTAAAGCCACACAGCCCGCCCACTGCCAATGCCATTCAGTTCCATCATCAGAATCATCAGCATGATTATTATTATAAACATCATCATCAACATCATCATGGCCGTGCGCTTCGGCACCTGCAGCTGCTTTTGTCTGTTGGCGGCATTAAAATGCTAATTGCCTGTAAACATAAAGGTAACTGCAGCTACCCATGCACTAACACATACACACACACACACCCACACCCACACACACACACACACACACATTTTACCCATACCACTGAGGCGTCATTTGCAGGTGTTGCTGCGCTGCTGGTGCGCTACTTGCCTTCTGTTCTGTCCTGTCACACGCAACGTATGCGTAATTTTTGATGTGGTGGCCAACGTGGCGAATGCTGCTAATTCAATTTCTCGGCGCGTTGTCAATATGCCCGTTATACTTAGTTTAGCAAAAGCAACCCCCTTCCCTTTCCCAGCCTGCAGCACTTGCTGATAGTTTTTGACTGAGAGAGAGAACGAGAGAGGGGGAAGAGGTAGAGCGAGATGGCGTACTCCGCTGTACGCTGTCCTGGCTGTCGGTGACAGGCTTTATTTGCGTTAAGTTCGAAGTTTAAATTGACTTTAAAATTGCATTTAATGGCAAACAGTTTTACAGTTTTTTTTGCAAGTTTGGAAAGAGTATAAGTTGCCACACATCTGTTACAAATTATAGGTATAATTCCAGCATATTTTTAATAGATTATTATTTAATAAAAATTTAAAATCTTATGATTTAACCAAAAGTATACTGTTATTATGTAAAATATAAAATGAATAATTACACATATTCCATATTCCATTGCAAATATTTTGATTTGAATAAAAAGTGCTATATATATTTTTTGAAATTCTTCAGTTTATCAAACACAATTTGTGGCCAGCTTATAAGAAACTGTTTTCGAGGTACATTAAAGCATTTAAAAGGTCAATATCGGCATCGCTTTAGCTTTCGTTTAATATTTTTCAATTGACAACAGAGTATTGTCCAGTCGTTACATAACTGCTGGCAATATTCTAAGTTAGTTTTTTCACAAATGAACGAAATTTGTTTTTTTTTTTTGTGCCATTTCTCACTCTTTCTCTCAGCCGCTTGTTGGCTGTCATTCCGTGTCTTTGCCCCTCTCTTCTCTGCCTATCTCTGGCGCTCTGCTGCTTGGCTGCTCGTCATCATCCTTGTTGTTGTTGTTGTTGTTGTTGTTGCCTGCTTTGCTATAATGCCACTTGCACTTTGACGTTGACATTGTGCGAGGTTTGTGTTCGGTACAAAAAGGATTCCATGTGTGCGTGTGTGTGTCTCTCTCTCTCTCGCTCTTTCTGTATTGAGCTTGTAGTGCAAAGCTCTTCTAGCTGGTCGCCTGCATTTCTTAAATAGAAGCATGTGAAAAGGGCAGCGTCTGCCGCCTAGCAAATGTCTTCACACTAAAAGCATTCGCTCGAACTGGCCGTCTCCCACGGGAATAAAGCTTCCCGTCCGCACCCATACATATGTACATTGTCAATTTTGATGTGCTTGCTGTCGATTTTTAAATGTCCGTGTGTGGATGGGCGTGGGCGTGGCTGTGCATGGACATTTAAGTGCCCATCATGGCCCACTGAGTCGGCAATCAGCCAGAAACTGTTGGCATATCGAAATTTAATTGGCTTGGGCCATGTTTATTATGTGAATTGAACAGTAGCGTATTTGTAACATGCACCTAGGAATATGGGCAATAAAATAGCCAGCATTAGAAACTATGAACATTATAGTTGAAATAGCTGGTTAAATATGAATAGGTCAAAATGATTTTAAAACGATTTAATATTTGCCTAAAATTAATTCATTTCTGCTATTGCGAATATTAACTGAAGTAGCTAATTTATAAGTCAAATACATTACGTTAATCATTGACTGCATTTCAAATACTTTGATTAAGAAAGACTACAGTATGGCGCAAATAAGATAATAATTGCTGAATTTAGAAATGTATAACAACCCCAAACTAAGACATCACACGGCTTTTCAGAACATCCTCTGTGCACCTTGGTCAAAAGGAAGCATAGAAGAAAAACATGAGAAACTTATTTTCATTGCATAATTTCAAAAAACCACAACGCAAGTTGTCCAGACTTAAAGCAAACACAAAAAAAGACTAGAAAAATCTAGATAACCATCTTTTTGCTGGCAAAAGCATAAAAGCATTCGAGGATTGCACAGCCGCAGCCAAATGCGTTAATAATCCTTAAAGTAAACCACATCAACTGTGAATGTGTCACGGCCGGAGTCGTCGAGCAGCTCCAGAGAGGCTCTCTAGACATGTGCTCCACAGTCCGCAGCCGTCGTCGTGCTAGTAGCTGGTTAAATGCCCAACGGACATGGCAGACAGCACTGGCGGGGCAGGTGGTGTCAGGTGTGGAGTTGAGGTCCGCTCACTTGATGTCAGTCTATTTGCCAGTTGCCAGTTACCAACTGCAGTCATCATCCGACTCGCAATCGCAGTTCACTGTCCCAGTCCCAATCCCAGTCCCAGTCCCGTTCATAGTCGCATCCAATAAGTTGGCATTGCTTTTTACTGACTGCTTTTGCTTGTAGTTATATAAAAGGGGCTGACAAGTTGCTTTGTTTAAGGAGCAAATATTTAACTAATCTCTTACAAAAAGCTAATATAAATTTCTTATACAAGTTATTGCCTCAGCATTTGGCACGTGCACTCGAACGGAAAATATATTCCTAAGAAACGAATTATATTTACGTATGTATATTTATATGAAGAAGGCAGACATTTGAAAATTTCACTGAATGACAAAAATGACATAAAACAAAACTAAGCAGTACGAATACTTTATGCTCTATGACAGTCGGATACTTGCTTAAAAGTTTATATATATTATTACATATATTTTAATTAGTAGTAAAATCTTTTTAATTGAA